TTCCTGCAGAGCCCTCCTCCCCGAAGCGCTCTGCCATCTGTCCGGACGCCTTTACAATGCACGTTGCGCTAGCGGTCAGGGGGGAGCTCACAGATGGCTGATAGAAGGGGTCAGTGACTTCTCTCCCATCGACAGGACTCCTCTTAGCTGAGCTGTGCCTCACTGGAAATTGGGGTGGAGGGGGGAGCACCTTGGCCTCCTGTCTCTCCCTCTCAGCTCCTCTAAAGTCTGACTGTGTACCAAGGGAGTGTGTGCACGTGTGTATGTGTGTGCGCGCACAAGCGTTCTTGGGGTCCCAGGCTGCAGAGGAATAAGTAGAGGGTCCCCAGGGCTTGAGCCTCAAAGAGATGGTCATCCTTGCTTTTGGGCTAGGAGTGGACTCCATCCTTGGCCACCTGCTTGGAGCAGCTGTAGGAGAGCTGCCAGCCGTGTCAGGCAGGCACAAAGCAACATCTGTCCCGGCAGCCCAGGGCAGGCCTCCTCTGGAAATAAATGCCACATATGGTGGGAGCACTGACTTAAAAAATAATAATTTTTTTTTAACTGGGTGGATCCAGTCAATAAAGGGGGAGGGAAGGCGGTGTGCTGTCTGGGAAGGGCGCTCTGGGTGTGTGATCTGGAGCCAGAACTGACTTCAGAGGAGGTGGTGTGCTGTGATGGTCAGCGAGCCCTGGGTTCTGGTCCCAGCTCTGTTTCTTAATTCTTCGTTCTTCCTTTGGTGAGGGTGGGGCGGGTGGGAGGATGAATGCGAGTCCCAGTGCTCCCGCCAGGGGAGGGGGTTGTTGGAAACCGGCCTTCTTAGCTGTCCAGGTGCATTGAGGACAAGGGCTTTATGCCTTGAAGCAGAAAACAAAAATGATATCAGTTATAAAACGAGCAGCTGTGCAAAGTGTCTTACAGTTCACCGAGCACTTTCACATGGTTTTACGAAATTAAAAAGAGAAAGTAACTCGTGGAAACCAGATAAGGTGGTTGGGCTTAAGATTTATCTCAGAGTTAATGTTGAGAAAACGTCCGAGGGGAGAGGTGGAAAGGCAGGTTGGAGTAGCTGTGGGACTCTGACCCACTGTGCTCTTGTTTCCTGCCTCCTGCTGCTGTTTACTTTGAAGGTTCTCAATACATTTTTTTGTTGAATGCTCAAATACTGCTAACTTGGCGGGGGTGGGGTGGGGGGGGGCATGGAGGGCTGGGCAGTGTGGATCTTTGTTGGGAGGGTTGCCAGTGTTCAGTCTTGGGCTGGTGACAGCTTGGAGGAGCGGCCTTGCGCTCCCCTGCCTCAGTAGAAGTTTGCCCTCTGGGGGGAACACAGCCCTGGCCCCCTCTTTCCTCTTCCAGAGTTCTCTGTGGCCTGAGGTATATGAAGCTTTGGGTGTTTCTGAGAGTTCAAGTTAAGTTGCTCCCTGGTCTGTCGCCACTTTCTCAGGACTGGGACATCTACCTGCCTGGCAAGGACCTACTAATAAGACAGAGTTTTTTTGTTGTGGTTGTTTTGGTTTTTTTCTCCATCTTTTCTCAGTGAGGGAAATCCCGTTGCTTGGGTGGATCCAGACAAGACGGATTTCCATCCCTGGATTCTGTGCCCACGCCTCTGGGTCACCTTGTCTCCCTTGGCAATAGCTGCTGCCGTTTTGGTCGTGGGCAGACAACTAAAGGCCACGTCTCGGGGAGGTGGTTAGCTCGCCTCACGCTAGTGATACCGGTGTGTCTGCTGAGCCCCGTAGATTGTTGTGTTGGTTGTCAAATTGTCTGCTCTCTCCACACTGCCTTCTATAAGTTACCCTCCTGTGTGTGAGAGGTGGGGCGCTGGGCACCCCCAAGTGCTCTGTGAGAGCTGGACCTTAGGGGTTTAAGAAGCCCTCTGTCCCAGGAGGTTTTAACAAGCGTGTTTTGGCTAATATGTAACTATGAGCGGCAACAGTAACATTTGGCAATTATAGCTGTATGTTAGGGCCTTCCAGACCACATGCCTGCTTCTTTGTTACACCAGCTCTAACCTGCCTCTGTGATCAGAAGAGCTGGAGTGATACAGGCGTATTGATATCAAGAATGTAAGAGAGCCCAGTGCCAAGGAAGTGGTGAGAGCGAGATTGAGGTACACCGACGTGGGCCATCAGGATACGCTGAGGTCTGGCAGGATGGGCAGAACATAGACAAGTAGTATAACAGCATCTCACTCCTCACCTGCTTGAGTACCCGAGGAAAGCTTCAGGTACCTACCTGGGCAGTTTGTAAGAATGGAGCCATACCATTTGCCGCTGAGGGATAGAGGAGGGGTGTGCACGTTATGTCAGCAATCAGGAAGGAGACAGGCACACTTAGCACGCCTGTTCTGATGCATTCCAATAACTTGTGCCTCCCCCGATAGGATCCATGCCTTGGCACGGGTTTGGGGAGCTGGACCAAGCTTATTGGCTGGGTCTGTTTGGAAGGGAATTTGGGCTTTCTCCTATCAAAGCACCAAGTCCAGAGGAACATGGGGGGACTTTCTGACACACACCGACTCCTGCTTTTTTGTGCTTCTCTTTTAGCACAGCTCCTCCTGTTACCTACCTGGACTTTCCCAGGCTACCGTCACCCTAGGGGAAGATCCTCGTTGTTAAAACTCCTCTCTCCGACTTCTGGGGACAGACCTATGGCCATGGCTGCTTGTTAACCTTGATTGGGAGAGTGACACACCAGGCTGGGAAGGGAAGGGGCCCACAGGACGAGTAGCTGACTGGGGCTGGCTCAGAGCCCTGGTTGAACCCAGGATCAACTTGATGCTCCCTTGACATTTGGAGCCTGGAACTTCTGGTGCATTCAGGAGGTGAATGTTTGGGCTCATGCAGACAGCCCCTTGCTCACCGTTGCTAATTAAATGTTAGAGTTGGAGTTTGTTGATTCATGGTTATCTGTTGGCCCTCTCATGTCTGAGTCAGTATTCCAGGCAATGGGGGAGGATGCAGAGATAAATTTGAGATGGCCCCTGCCTGCGAGGGGCTTACACTTCAGTAAGGAAACACCTATAGGGCGTTACTGGAGTGCCTAGCTGCTATTTCTTTCTTAGTCCCAGCCAAAGAAGAAATAGGTGTGGAGTGGATTTTTTTGTGGGGGGCGGGTAACCTATACTGAGTCTTTTAAATACTGTAGAAGTCCCTCTGTTAGAAAACAAAATAATGACAGCCATCTCTTTTCTCTCGAAAGAAAGCCCAGAACTCAGGCCCTGGATCTTGCCATTTTTTAAAAAAATATATTTTATTGATTTTTTACAGAGAGGAAGGGAGAGAGATAGTTAGAAACATCGATGAGAGAGAAACATCGATCAGCCGCCTCCTGCACATCTCCTACTGGGGATGTGCCGGCAACCAAGGTACATGCCCTTGACCGGAATCGAACCTGGGACCTTTCAGTCCACAGGCCGACGCTCTATCCACTGAGCCAAACCGGTTTCGGCGATCTTGCCATTTTAATGCCTGGTTGGGACTTAAGAGTCCACTGGATGTCTCAGAGCCTTCATGTCTGCACCTGTAAAGTCAGGATGAGATAAGGATTGTGAAGTGTTTTGTAAACCAGAGAGTTTGACAAACGTAAGTGCTATCTATGCTTAGCCTCTTGTGGGTGTCATTCATTCATTACGAAATTATTTAATCATTTATTCAATATCTACCATGATGAGCAAGGTCGGGCACCTGTTCTCAAGAAGCTCCTTGTCTAGAGTGGGAGACAGACTTGCCCAAAGGTACAGGGCAAGAGCTGCACCCGAGGGGTGTACAAGCTGCGGAGACATGGGGGGCAGGCCATTCATTCTGTGAGGAGGTGGGGAGAGGGGGCAGGGGGCCGTGTGCGGTGAACACCCAAAGGAATACGGAAGTTATTCTCTGAAGGAAGTTTCTGGGCTGCGCTACGATCATGAGCACTTTACATGGTGATAGTTGCCTGCAAGAATGAGGCAGCGAATGACATCTTTACCTTCTGCTTTTGCTAAAGGGAGCTCTGCTATGAATATGTTACCATGTGGCTTGCACCAAAGGGCTGGTGACCCCTGAACAGTCTTTTACTTCATTGTTAAGTGTTCTCTCTTTGAAGTAAAAAGTAACTTAGTATTGCAAACCTGAAATTCAGGTTTCCGAGGTGGGAACAGCGACTTTAGATATATTAGCTCAGAATATAACAGAGAGTGTCAATAAAAAGTGGACAACTTGGAGATGATTGTGGGTGCTTAGCATTTCAGAGTTTTGGTGAGACCTCGCCTTTCATTTCTCTGCTTAACACTTGCTAAAAACA